CGTCAGACAGACGGGCCAGCAAACGTCTGAGAAGATGAAAACACGGTATGACCGCAAAATGAACAACAAGGGCTTTGATGAAGGTTCACTAGTGTGGTTACACAATCCAGTTCGCAGCAAAGGGAAATCTCCTAAGCTTCAAGCTAAATGGGACGGACCGTACCGGATTGTGACAAGGATCAATGATGTAACCTACCGGATACAGAAAGGTGCCAGAGGTACTCCTAAGATTGTCCATGTGGATCGACTGGCGCGTTATTGTGGGGCCAATAATGCTCGGGACGAGCATGTCTTAGGAGGGGGCAGTGTTACGCGCCACTATTAATGTCTTGTACATGGCAACACTAGTTACACTAGCGCCCCCTAGTGTCGAGTAAATGAAAGTATTGCGCGCCACTATTAATGTCTTGTACATGGCAACACTAGTCACACTAGCGCCCTCTAGTGTCGAGTAGCAGAACTAGGAGAGTCGAGATCCTTCCAGAAATTTCGGGACCGATATGTACTCGAACATTCTAGATGTCGCTACAGTAGAAGGTTCTGGAAACTATCTGTAGCCCTATATAAGACCGGTATAGACCACGACCGGGGCAGTATTGAATTGGCGATACAAGAGAATACTTCGAAGCGAAATAACGGCGAACTGTGTTTTATTATTAGTGTGATTTTAGATTGTAATTAGTGTTGTGGAATTAAAGTGTTAATTTTGGTAATTCAATCGGCAGTTTTTAATTGTCTCGAACCCGAAGCTCGTAACAATATTAATATAATATTTTCCTGTTTGCATTTATAAGATACCATAATAAGTGATCTCTAATGGACAAAAAAGAAAGAACACAATAAATGATCTCTTATCAGTAAAAGATTTTCAAGGGTGAAATATCGATTCATTGGATCAATTCTGTACTGCATACCGATTTAAAGAAAAACAATATTTTGGGCCTGAAAAATCAATCTCAGATCGACATCTCTAATCGTTAGTCATTGTTTGCGTCCCTAGCAGTTGAGAGCGTTTATGTACTCCTGTCGGTAAAAACAACATTTGACTATCACCACGGCGTCTCCGACGCCCCAGGTTTCATGTTCTGCTGTGTCGTCTGAAAAATCGAGTGTAGTGGAAGTGTTAGACTCTAAAGAGCCACTTTTCGCGAGCTCTTTTGCAGGCTCCCCGTGTGTGCAAGTGTTAGACTCTAGTAAGCCACTTGTGCCCATGACTGTGCCATCGGAACCAGTAGCTGGTAGTTCCGGCGTTACCGTTCCTAGTATCGTGTCGGTACTACCACCTGTATCTCCGTGTGGATGATGCAGAACCTCAAGCTTCTGAGTCGTCTGACAGAAGAGCCCACTATTATTCCAAGGAAATAAGGTTGGTTCACTGTGTTTTTTTATATAGCCACATATGTAAACTTCACAGAAAAAGCTGACAAGTAAAGCAGTAATTAGATTTCTAATAGGAACTTTTTTGTTTGTTTTAGGTGCCATTGGAATATGTATAAAATCATTAACCGGCTCAAGAACCCAGTTCAGTGCATTGCATTTGCTGAAGAGCATAGGCTCCTTCCTACAGAGAAAATGTGCACATATCATAAGAAACCTATGATGTTAAGCTCCAGCAGTAAGACTGGTCAGCTTGGTATCTTCCGATGCAGGAAGACTCACTGTCGCTCTAAGGCTGTGAGTCGGGCAGCGGGAACATGGTTCAAGAATGCACGGTTGTCTATTGAGTTGCAATTTTTATTGATGTATATGTTCAGCCAAAAATATAGTTATCTTCAAGTAAAATTAGAGACAGCCTGTGAAGATATACAAACAGTTTTATCAACAAGGACAGTAGCTGACTGGTTTTCTTACTGTCAGGAGACAGTAATTATTTATGAATTAGGGCACCAACAAGTTAACAGCAAGATTGGTGGTCCAAGCAAAATTGTCCAAATAGATGAATCAAAATTTGGTGAAAGAAAGTACAATAAAGGGAGACGCATGGTAAAAAATGGGAAAGATAATTTGAGATTAGAAGTGTGTCCCGATAATGATAGATCTGCGGAAATGTTGGTGCCACTAATACAAAAGCATGTGGAGGTAGGCACTGAAATCCATACTGAGTTTTGGAGAGCCTATGATTGCCTACCTCAATATGGATACATACATAAGAAAGTAAATCACAGCGACCCTATAAATAAATTTGTGGCACCAGACGGGACACACACACAAAGAATAGAAAGTCATTGGCGAAATTTATAAAATATTTTTATAAAATTGATCAATAAATTATTAAGTGTATTTGATTTGTTTTATTTTAACAGTACCTATTAGGGCAGATATTAAATAAAATAGGTTAGGTACTACTTATGTCAAAGAACCAAATTGATTGACCCCGACTCCACCTGGTACGAGTCTGTCCTACCCCTAGAGTGGTTATATAGCGCCGGAGACGTTGCAGTCTCAAAATAGATATAGAAATCCCTCTGAATTAGTCCCCATACATAATGTCATTGGAAATTCGTAATAAAATTGGCTCAGAAGGGCTAGCTAACCCAGAGCCGTAAAGCCAGTTTAAAAAAAAACATCAAAATATTGTAATAATAAGTGATTTTCAATAATTTATTTCTCAAAAAGTACGCGTTTCCGCATGTTAAAATTTTGCGTGTGTGCTTATAAAAATATAACCTTTTATGTAACGTTTCTCAACACCCAACTCGACGGACGTCAAAGTAAAGTCTTACCTTTCCATGTTCTGTATGAATACAAATATAAAGCTCACTCCTAACTTAAGGAATAATAATAATGACCTCCTGGCCAATTATGACCATTGCCATCAACCAAAATATTGGTGAGTTGTATCACCCAGCAGGATCTCCACAAGTGTATACTAACTCATTGTAATTTACCCATGCCAATTTATCATCCTACTGTCGCCGAATCATTGCTCAAACAAAATGTAAAGGCTTGTTCAAATACTTTTAAATTCCATAGGGTACTGCCAAAAGATATCGTTAAATATTTTAAAACTATTGATGTTAAGAAAACGGCAGACTTATGGGGCATTTCCGTTAAAGTTATTTTATCTATAATATATATAATAGCACCTTATCTAGCCACTATATTTAATACAAGCGTCGAATCTGGTGTGTTTCCTGATTTAATGAAACATAGTAAAGTCATACCTATATTTAAATCTGGTAGTACATTAGACCCCGCCAATTTTAGACCAATTTCTGTACTACCAACATTAAGTAAAATTTTTGAAAAAATTATTTTAGATCAGATGTTAAGTTTCTTCAATATTAATAAATTGCTACATAAAAATCAATTCGGTTTTACAAGGGGTCGCTCGACAACTGACGCTGGAGTTGAGCTTATTAAACATATTTTTTGTGCATGGGAGAATTCAGAGGATGCTTTGGGTATATTTTGTGACCTTTCCAAGGCCTTCGACTGTGTTCACCGTGAGATATTAATCAGGAAGCTACAGTACTATGGTGTCAAGAACACAGCGCTTAAACTTATTATTTCATATTTAAGTAATAGAAAACAGAAGGTTATTATCAATGGTAAAAGTTCTTCCGGGTCACCTGTACTAATGGGTGTTCCTCAGGGCTCGATTCTCGGCCCATTCCTGTTTCTGGTGTATATTAATGACTTACCTCACCTTGTAGGGGATAGTCATGATATAGTATTATTTGCTGATGATACTTCCTTGATTTTTAAACTTAAACGTCAATCATTTAAATGTGACGAAGTGAATAATGCTATATCAAAATTAGTGCATTGGTTTAACGTTAATAATCTGCATTTGAACGGAAATAAAACTAATTGTGTTAAATTTACAACAACGAATGTTAAAAATCTTAATACCAATGTGTTTTTAAATGGGGAGGAATTGAGCCCTGTTGTATCCACGGTTTTTCTTGGCATCACTCTTGACGCAAAGCTACAGTGGGGCCCCCACATATCCAAATTAGCAAGCAGACTAAGTTCTGCAGCCTATGCTGTAAAAAAGATTAGAGGTCTCACTAGTGTCGAGACAGCTAGATTAGTTTATTTTATTTTCATAGCATAATGTCTTATGGGATTTTGCTATGGGGAAATGCGGCTGAATCAGAAACTATTTTTGTTTTACAGAAGAGGGCCATTAGAGCTATTTACAATCTAAAACCGAGAGAGTCCCTTAGAGATAAATTTAAAGAAATTAATATATTAACTTTGGCCTCTCAGTATATTTACGAAAATTTAATGTATGTTCACAAAAACAAAGATAGTTTTAGTAAAAGAAGTGATATACATTCTGTAAACACTAGGAACAAACACAAGCTAGTGATACCAATTTCTCGACTCCACAGAGTCAGTAATTCATTCTTGGGGCAATGTATACGCTATTACAACAAGGTCCCGGAAAGTGTACAGGTTCTCTCTATTACCAAGTTTAAATGTTTTATTAAGCTGAAACTGTATAAAAAGGGTTATTATAGTATAAATGAATACATGGTTGATAATAACCCCTGGGAATAACAAAAAAGTCCCGCTGGGTTTCTTGCTGGTTCTTCCCAGGACAGAGGGTTTTTTCGAACCAGTGGTAAAGTAAAAAACGACTTTCAATAAGAATTACACATGTAATGTATATTGAATAAAAAAATATTCTATTCTATTCTATTCTATCTAATGTGGTAAGATCTTAGGCTAGTATGTAGTATCAGAGACATTGGGACAGAAGCTCAATACAATCAAACTTGATAATCCTTTGATTTGGATCTATTTCATAGCAACCACCTGGCCACATGGTTTCTAGTGCTTTTACCCCATTTGGAATTAAATCCACCAAGCCATATCAACAAAAACTAAATTTGATGTAACAGAAATGATGCTCTGTATCTCTTATTGGCATTAGGTAATTATTTTCAAACGGTAATTGAACTACCACTACTCCTAATTCAATTATAATACAGTTGTAAGTCTAACATAATTTTAGGTATAATCAAAATAGATATTTTTTTTAATTACAGCATATAAAACGACAACAATCTTGCTCGATGGCAAAAGAGTGAAGCTTCAACTTTGGGACACATCAGGCCAAGGTCGATTTTGCACAATTATACGCTCATATTCACGTGGTGCTCAGGGCATACTCTTAGTCTATGACATTACAAATAAATGGTCTTTTGATAGCATCGATAGGTGGCTTGAAGAAGTGGAAAAGGTAAAAACTTCCAATAGTTAATTTTGGAACAGCATGCAACATCCATTTATCTTTCTTTCTTTTCTTTTTTTATAAATAGTACTCCCACACTACAATTTTCTCCTGTATTGTGGAGGCATGTAGCATACATTAATTCTACAAGGACAAAACACTTAACAATTATTTGTAGGCCATAAAAATACTTGTTCCGTGTGGGATTCCAAATTGCAGTCCACAGCGCACCTCATTGCTGTGCCACTTTGGCACAGTGCCATTAAATACTTAGTTTATATAACTGTCGGTATTATTTTTAACAATCAAATCTGTTCATTAATATGCAATAATGGAACACTGCTCATTTTTTAGCATGCTCCAGGTGTTCCTAAAGTACTAGTTGGGAATCGGTTACATCTGGCATTCAAACGACAAGTGCAGGAGCGTGAAGCAGAATTATATGCAGCAAAAAATCATATGGCTTTCTTTGAAGTGAGCCCTCTATGTGACTTTAATATAAGAGAAAGCTTCTGTGAATTGTCACGCATGGCCCTGCACAGAAACGGTATGGAGAGACTGTGGAGAAGCAATAAAGGTAAATAATTTACTTTCCATTTGTGCCACAACCATAATACTAGTATAGCTGCAGAGTGATTCTACAACATATAAAATGCGTCATGTTCCTATTGTACGTAATAGGCCTATTTCTTCTAGTATATATTTTTTTACAAAATTAATAGAATAAAACTAAAGCCAGTCTTGGTGGGAAGAGGAATTCTGAAACTTTTATGCTTCTGGAACATTATCTTGCTTTACCTCTGGAGAGCTACACCCTTATTATCATAACAGCCTATCAAAAGTCCAATGCTGACCATAGGCCTCCTATAACTTTGCATAAATTGGTTCATAGGGGAGATATTTCCCATAGTTGTCACACTTGGCAGGCGGGTTGGCAGCCACAGTTGTTGCTAATGCCTATCTCTGTATTGACACTTTCCACAGCTCACAGGATGATATGGTATAATACACATTCTTAAACTGCCACTACACCCCTATATGTGATTTTCTTGTTTGTCTGATCTTGATTATTTTGTTAAATTATATGACTAAGCAAAATAATTAGTAGCTATATTGTTATTTAAAGTTAGCCCTTTTCAAGTATGCAGTATATCACTAATGAATAAATTATCCACAGTGCTCAGCCTTCAAGAATTGTGCTGTCGTGCTATAGTGGCACGAACATCTGTGTATGGCTTAGAACGACTGCCTTTACCAACTACATTGAAGTCTCATCTTAAGTCGTATGCTATTTCTGCGGCTCCAAGCAGACATCGTGCTCGCCCCCCAAAGCATCCACATAATGCAAGACTTAACTGCACTGGTCGTAATTCCTGTACAATTGCATGAAATATTTCACCTTAATGCCTAATTTCACTTTCTGTCTGATAGATAAATATTGGAAAAATCAAATAATTGCCTTTTTCATTTAGGACTGAAGGACTTTTCCAACTTTTGGTCCACTTCTAATTACTGTCTGACCATTACCTTATTTCAGTATGATATTTTTAGCTTATGATACATGTACTAAAATCATTTGAAATTTGAATGTATAACCTAACCAGAAAGTCAAAAATCTTCACTATATTGCAATTCACACTTGGCAAGCGTACATTCATGATACTAATTTAGCAGTAACACTTATTGTCTGACATAAATATCTAAATTTCTATATGAACTTGAAATTTTCTATGATAGTACTACATTAAAATTATGCAGGAATATAATTTAAAAAATTATTACATATTAAGCATTTTTTTAGGTTAAAAATTAATTAATGAAGGAGTGGTTACTCTCAGTCTACTACTTAATTAGATGTTTTTAAAATGTGTGCAATAAGGCAAAATACATGAATTTTATGTGGTATATAAAGAAACACCAACCTTTAAGAATTACTTAAGGCTCTAAGTTTATTTTAGTGGTGACAAAATCAAAATTAATATGGAAAAAGAACCGAAACTTATAGAGAAGCCCATTTTGTGTAGTGGATTATTGATTAATATATACTTAAGTAAAGCTACTTAAAATCTATTGCAAATAAAATATAACCAAAATCGCTAATTCATGCCGAATACTATTTCTTGCCAAATAAAGTCAAAAAAAGCTTTTACAGAGTTTTTATTTTCTGGTCAGGCTATACACAAAGTTTTGGTAAAAATGGTATTAACTTTAATCTGGTAAATTATATTAAAAGGTGGTTTTCATTAATAAAAAATGTTCAATTCCCAATGTTTCAATGTACTTACTTATCACAGATTGGCCATGCAAGATCTATCAGAAGAAAGTATTTTTCACACACCATTTGCCTGTATTTATGGATAAGATATTTATTTGAGACTTGTATATTTAAAAATTCACTTTGGACACTTGTATTTTCGGTGTATATTAGAGCACATTTTGATGGTATTCTATACAAGTTTTTTAACAACTCTTATATATGTAACATTAAGTTGCCTCAGCAATATGAAAGCAAAGATAATCTCTCAGTTCTTTGACTATTTCCAAGTAATATGTAAATGTTGGCAATAGATAAAACCTGTATTGCTATAAATCTGTAGTCTGTCCAATTGTTGAATTGTTCGAGTGTTATGTATTGCCTTAGAAATATTAAAAAATAAGCCATGAAACGCACTTATTGTCCAATGTTGTCCTATAATCCTAACAAAATACAGGCTGTAACTGACAACGGATTTGTGATTAGTATTATAAGTGATTTTAGTATAAGGTATTGTTACTTAACTTACAGTGTCAATATAAGTGTTATTTAATTATAACAGTGTGTGAATATTATGTAGAATCCTGTATTGTCCATTTAATCAAATAAGCTCATATAACACTGTAATATTATAACTATCATTATGTGCCTAGTATTAGACTAAACTTTAATCTGGTGATATACATTGAGATACAGATTTCACGATTTTATATAAAATTTGACTCGACACTTTGTATCTTTAGTTGTGTGTGAAATTTGAAGAAACCTAGTTGTGGTTGATGAATGCGATTTGTATATATATGAAAATGTATAACTTAAATTTCATTTTATTTTTATTTTTCATTTTAAAGTATTTGAATTGGCTTTTTCAATGACAATCTGAAACTCTAATTTAATTTCTAAGATGTGTGTACAATGAAAACTGAGGAAATATTTAAACTTCACTTTACATGATAAAACATTAAAATTTTGATTTAAATTTAAAGCTTGTCTTACGAATTTGTTCTCGTAAAATCAATTTCTTTTACTAAAACTTTTTCAATTAATGTCATCAAAACTGTCGAAGACATATTGGCAAACAATGATTGCTCTTTCATTGATTCATATATTACATCTGACTGTGGATTTAAAAAAAAATCATTTGAATTCTACCAATAATTAAGTAAGGTAGGTAAAAATAATATCGATATCGGCAAATATTTTAATTGACGTCATTGTTCATGTGAAGTTTTACCCAATGTTTATATAGGTACTAACTGATAATAACTGCATTTATATGACTCAACTTGAGCAAATATTTGCGACACCAAAAATTGTAAATTCTAACTTTGAATGTGAATAATATAGATATTTTTTTAGTAATTATTTACATTTGCATATTTTTTAGGCATTAGTCAGTACTGTGTATAATAACATTCACTATATATTTTCAGATAATGGTTGTGTGTATTTTATCGTGTGACAATACATAATTGATTTTGCATTTAACATTTCGCTTATATCTAGCATGACGTGACTTGTTAAACTAATTATATTTAACATTTTGACAGTTCAAATTAGATGACCTTTTTCGCACATACCCGCATTATTTATGAATGTATACATTCAAGTTATTATACTTTACAAGGATTTTACATTATACTATTATAAAAAAATGTTACACAACACGTTCCCATGATAATCTCATTAAAAATGTGTAGTAATAAAAAAACAAGTGAAATCCATAAAGAACTTTTTGATTTTGTCAACATCACGTTTTCCTTAGCTCAGGGTGCATTGAGTTTGTATGTGCGAATAAAAGAACTCTAAAATAAAATTTTAGCAAATTTGCACCAGATGCATGCGCACTTTTTGCTTTGACGTGTATATATACATATGTAAACGAACTTTGAAACTGCATCAAACAAGTTTGGTTCAATCCGTCCCTAGAACGTAACTCATTCAATTATTCGTAGCAAGTGGAATGTAATGCATTTGTATTCAATCACCATGAGTAGGTCTAAAGTGTACAAAAAAAAAACAATATTTTGTTTTATAACATTGAGTGTTTTGTCAATTTACTAATATTAATATAGACGATATTTAATGTGAAGACAGACATCTTGCGGCAGCTATATTATATGACTAATAGAGCACTGACAAAGTTCACCAACACCGTAATAATATATTGATTTGCATACCTAATCCGAGAAAAGACATTCGAGCTGGTTACTTAGCTATGTCTGGTACTAAAATAGAAGTTAGATTTAAATTCTATGCTTGACATTGTGTTTCAAAACAAAATATTGTAATTTTTTAACCCTTGGGTATTTCCTCTTGAGACTGTTAGACTTCAGCCTCATCAAATGCATTAAAGTAAATTCAAAATGACACTGTCTCGCAAAAATTGAATCGGAACAGTTAATTTAGCGTTTTGTGTTGTATGTATATGTTTGTACGAAACATTGAATGACTGATGAAAAATTATTTCATAAGAAATGAAGTCTGCTAAAAAATTACTACCGCATAGAGAAGGCCAAGGTACTAGCTGCTAGCTGCTTACGTTTGCCACTTTATTTTTATAAACTTAAGTTCTCATATCGTTCAGCATTATTTTATACCTAATAACTGTATAAATATAGAAATCAAATCCTGTTGAGCTAAATTTTGTACATATTATTATTATTTTATTTGTGATAGTTTTAGTTCAACATAATATAATCCAAATATACTAACGCCAACTGAAAGTTTGGTTCATAAAGTCATAATGTTATCACTACTATTGTAAGTTGTGAATTAAAACTAATTTATAATAATTAAATGAGTTTACTTTTAACATAACTTTTTCCCTTTCTTTGATTATCAGTTCTGTAAAGTTGTTTTTTTTTATAGGATAAGGGTGAAAAAAGAGCACACAATCCACCTGATGGTAAGTGGTTTCTGTGGCCCATAGACATCTACATCTATCTTCGATTACGAATCAAAATGCAAATGCGTTGTCACCCGTGAGGACTAAGATAGAATGCCTCGTTTTCAGTAAAAAGGGTCTCCGGATCTCTACACTCACCATACGAAACACAGCAACGTAATGCTGCTATTTTACGCTGGTATTCTGTGAGAGCGTGGTCCTTCCCCGGTCGAGCCGACCCATTCGTACTACAACCATAAATAGCTGCAGCATGGCTCTACCACGTATAACGATTAACCACGTAATGTTGTATTTGATAATGAACAGAAAAAAGAAACTACAACAACTATAAATAATATAGCGTCAGGTCGAATAGGCCCGGCCAGAAAAGCGCGCTATATATGATACATTATGAAAACCGGAGACACTTGACTTGTATCGAGGTATTCCATCTTAGTCCTCACATGTGACAACGCATCTGTAGCCTTTTTTGTTTAAAGTTGGGTAAAACTATCGGGTCTATGTTCGTAAATTCAGTTTTATAAAGAAACACCATCAGGTGTGTACTCTGTACAAATGGTGGGTCACTTTACTAGGTAAATAAAAAACTACTTTATCATATTGTTTTATATAATATTCCGCAGTGTCGACTTTATATTGTTTTTGGACAAAACTACGGAATTACTCTCATTTAGAAGGAACGGACCACTGGGACGGAATTAAGTAATTTCAGCATTTTTTTAATTCGTCTGTATGTCAGGGAACACGGTTTTAAACATTTCACTAGGTATCCTGAGTGATGTACATTTCAATTGTTTAACAATTGTCTCTTGCGGACACGGAAGTTGTTAATAAAACAAAGTATTTTTGTAAATAACGAGTGGTTTGTGAATACAATTAAAACTTCATTTTTTCTGTTATAAATTTTTAACAATATAATATACCTAAACATGCGCGATAGGCGGTGATAAAAAAAATCAATAGAAATAATCATGCGCGCGTCGCGTCATGTGTATGCACTAACTACCTATTTATTACACGGTGAAGTAATGTTTGGAATTCTCATTAGATATGCATAAGTGATACAAATAACACAAATGTTTGTTAGAAACAAGAAATTTAAAATACCCCACAAAATGATGATACGTTTAAAGAATTTTCTGTACGTCTTCAATTTACGCCAGGGCACAATTCTTATAGCCGTCCATCAAATCGTAAGTGTAAAAAGTTGTGATGATATGAAGTTATAAATTATTTCATATATGTATATTAAAGTAGAACATCTTGCCATTGCATACTTTCAGGCGCTGTCTTCATTTATTTTAATAATACTATTAGTTGGCATTTCTCATGTGGGCGAAATGCTATCTATGCTTCATAATGACATGGAAGATGATGCTGAAAGACGAGGATTTTACGAAGTAGCTTACGGCGACCAGTTAACTTTCCACGAAGGACATGTGGTTAGCACTAATAACCAGCGGAGGTTCGCTAAAGCACAACATCTTGCTTCAGGTATAATTGTGTTAATGTTTAGTATATATAAACACGAAAATCTTAGGTCCATGTAGAAACATATAGTCCTAAAAACTACTACAACTCAATTTATAGTTTAAATTAAAAAACGAAAAAGAAATGACTGTGGAACTGCATGATGACCAACCAACCTAATTCGACCAAAAGGTCAACCAACGAATCCAACTCGCCTGGGTTGCATTCGTTGAGCACTGCGACAAATCTTCGTCTGATATTCATCAGAATTTTAAGACGGAAGTGTACAGCCAGTGATGGCTCACGGAACTGAAACGTCCTTCACATCTGGAC